CCCCCGAAGAACAGACTCCCTGGAGTGATGCAGTGCTGCAAGTGGAAGGGACAGATGGTGTTGGATTGCAGTTTGAGACTGCAATGCAGACTCTGTTATGCATTGCAGAGCCCAGCAGAGCAAACATGATAAGTCTTTTTTTCAAACAGGGCTCGACCCAAGCAGCAGTTTCCCAGAGCGAGCATGATACTAGGAGGTTTTCCACCTTCTCAAATCGGGGAGGGAAACAGAGAGAAGGGGCGATCCCTCGTCGTTCGTGCAGTGCATGCACCGAGCAACAAGGAGACGGGGAAGAAAAGTGCTTCTTCATCTTTGCATGGGAGTAAACGGTTGTGCTTCCTGGAACCACACTGACAGTTCTTTCTTCCTCTTCCTCTGAAGTGCCTATAGATGATCCATCTCTGAAAGTTCACATTAATCTTTCCTCACTGCACAGATCAGCAGTGGTGATCTGGAAGCATTAATTCCTGTAGGATGAGGCAGTGTTGGACTAGACTTACTCTGGCTGTACGCAAGGGGCAGGTTGCTGTGCAGAGTTAGAGGAGGACTGTTGGGAGAGGGGGTTACTTAAGAATTCTGTTCTCCTTTGCTCCCCCACACTATCCCACTGTATGTCTCATCTGCTAGGTAGTACCCTTCTCTCATAGGCTCTTTGTATATGACCAGATAAGCTAAAAAAGACTTGTGAGTAGGGCACGCTGATCCATTGGAGAAGAATATGTGTGCGAACTACAGGAATGTGTATAGGGCAGCCTGAGGCAGAGTTAGTAGAGGTGGATGGACTAGGCAGAGAGGCGGTGTGCTCTGTTCTGTCTGCGTAGAGCATCCCTGCTCACCTGCACTGAGCTTACGCAGTGACTTTTGATGGAGCAGCCACTGCTGCCTTGCTTATAACTAGTGCTGAGACTCTGGGTCCTGCATGAGGAGGAGAGGGGGATCCAGCATACGCAGAGATGTTAATCTACTTACTCTGCCTCCTAGATGAACATTACATCTGTGCTTTAGTGTAACTCTGAGTGAGTATCAGGGTAAGTGGTCACTTCCTGAGTTCACAGTGAGCCTGTCCGTTTCTTCCCCTGCAGTTGTCCATGCTCTGCATGAATTTATCACTCACCCTGCAGTGAGGAGAGAGCAGCCTTCTCTAAGGCTGCAATGCTGTAAAACAGCCAGCCACTCATCAGTTCCAGATCAATGCTAGTCATGAGTCTGTGGGCTCGAGAGCCAGTGGTTTGAAGTGCCTGCACCATTCTGGCTCAGCAGCGGACTGCTCTGACATCCTCCCCCAGATCTGAAACAAAAGTGCTTTGGGGACTACAGCTGGGCAAACAACCTAAAGAAAAAAGAAAAGAAAAAAAGAAGAAAAACAATCTAATGCACTCATGTTCACTGGAGTACGAAACTAAGCTTAATTCCAAATGTAGCAGTTTCATTTGCATTATCCATTTTGCATGAGTGGTCCAACGAATGAATTTACCAGTAGGGCAGAATATAAATAGAGTCTTTTTGAAGTGTCTGCCATATCTACCCTGCAGTAGGAAACTTGATTGCAGTGTAGGAAGGCATACTCGCACTGGCTCGAGCCTAGCTTGCCTGAATATCGTATTATAAACTTCAGTGTCTGGTAGTTACCAAGTCTATAAGCAGAGATCCAGGAGGGCTGGCATAGTCTGTGGAGCTGTACTGCCAGGGCTGGAACGAACACGGAGGCTCCAGTCATGCTTTGGTCATACCCAGGGAAGCTCTCGTCGTCTTAGCCTTTGAACCACTTCAACAGCTCTTCAGGGTATCTGGGTTGGTCTGTGGTTCTTGACCATGTGAACCTGGAGGCACATTGTCACTCACGGAGTCTGGGAGTTGGGCCTTTACACTATTGTTTCTGAGAAACTGTTCAGAGAAAGCAGACTCTGAACATTAACATCCTACAAACCTTATCCCAAGGTCACCCAGCAGAAAAAATAAAAGCAGAATAATACCACGTAACCCATATACTCAATCAAAATGAACCAATGCAGTTCAGATTGTGTTAGACAAAAAAAAAAAAATGCTTTAGGTTTTCATGGGCAAAAATGATTGTTTTTTTTTTTTTTTTCTAAGAGCAATTTGCTGAGCTTTCCCTATTTTATGCACAGCATCTACCCCCTTGTTTGGTGCCAGGATGCAGTAACCTACATTTAAGATCAAACTATTTTCCCTTATGAGCAAAGAACATTTATTGGGACAACAGTAAAATCCTGCTCCTATAAATCAGTTTCCAAATAGCACATAGGCTAAGGTAACCAAAGTATTTTGATTTCAGAATTTATGTGACGGATTATGATGGGAAGGAAAGGAACTAGATGGTTTTGATATGTATCATAATGATAAAATTATGATAAGTGAGAGGATTTTTTCAGATTTTTGTCAGGAAAAAAAAAGTTTTCAATTTTGCAGCTGAAACCTGAAGAAAAGGACAATTTGGTGATTTTCTATTACGTCTAATATAAACTATTACGTCAATGAAAACTTGAAAACTTTCCTGAATGCTGTCCTTGTCTTCCCTTGAGTTTCCATATTACATAGAAGTTTTAGAATGGAGGGAATGCATCTTCTCAGGTCTGTAACTGGCCATAGATTACATGATCTGAAAGATGACATCACTTTAGGAAGACTCAGATATATTCAGAAAACTGAAAAGCTAGAAGGGCCTATATGGAAGGACTAGGAGCGAGCTTCCAAAGACTATGAGAATATGGCTCCCAAATGATTTTCCTTTTGATTTGAACAGCTAATTCCCTTAATTTCTTGTGACCTATTTGTAGCCTTCCTTAAATTAAATTAACATAATGTGGCTAGTGGCCTGGGGGATGTAATGTTAGGCCAAATGCATAACTGGATCCTGAGAGGGGAGGAGCTGGGCAAAATGATTGTTCTCCAGTAGCACAGCAGGGTCCCATTCCACGAGCAATTCAAAATGGCTTAGCAGATTTTTTATCGATATGGTTTGCAATTCTGTCATGTTAAATAGCAAGACAGACCCGTGAGAGTAACTCATTAAAACCTCTGGCCACCCTTGAGTAAAATCAGACTCAACAAACACTGTAATGTGGCAGGGAGGGGGAGAATGGGCTGGGCTTCTTCCTAAATTTGCATTACCTCATTTCTGAAGGCAGCATTATCAAGCATTTGTCTTTAATGTCATTATAGAAGCTTATTAGAACCACAATGCAAGTTACAGTAATTTGCGTTCTC